GAACAGATGCAGCTGAAGCACAAATCAGCTTGTAAAATAAATGGGGCTGAGCTTGGGAAAACTCTTCAGCTGGTAGAAATCACAGAACCATTTAAGTCAAATGATATCATGCTGGGGAGGTTTTAGGCTAACCTACACAGTAAGGGGTAAGGCCTCAGCTGATGTCAGAGGGAATATGACAACATTCCTTTGGCATCTCTTCCTGTGTGGAGCCAGGTTGGGTTCCAAGGCAGTCATCAGCCAGATCAAACACTTCTTATACAATGTTCTCCAGTGCAAGATGTGGGTGAGTCTTGCAAAACATTTCTGTGGTTATGGAGGGTTTTGGTTGTTACTACATAAAGAGGGCTAGCTCTGTACCATGGGTCTCATTTAAACCATAGAGGGCTCAGATAGAGTGTGTGCTTTAAATAATACTTCAATGATGGGGAATATTATATCCTGAACAAAAGAGGTCTTTAGCATGCATATGTCTGTATTGTTAACAGCATTATTTAGTCCTAGGGAGCACAGATGTGAGACCTCTTACTATTGCAACATCAAGATGACCTTGGCCAAATGATACTGGAGAAGTCATTTGTAATGGCTGTACAAATATCAAAATACTAAGAACCTAAGATCCATGAGGTTTCATTTACAGATCATTCTGAGATGGTATTTCAATTCTAAGGGATATTTATTATCATATATTATCATATATTATTATATTATGTATTATATATTATCATATATATATTTATTATCATATAGCTATTAGGAAGTATTTATTTGCTGGTATTCTTTAGGTGTGTATTCAGAAGACTCTGCCTAATCAATTGATAATGACATGGTTTTTATTAGGAGGAGTGGGAAACTGCTGCCTCTTGCACATGTAGGGCAGTGCTTATGGCAGACAGTTTGAGAACCAGCTGAGTACTCTACACTTGATCACTACCTTGTACATAACTGTAAAAGTCCCTCTGGAAGCATTAGCTGCAGGAGGAAAGTTGTAGCCATACCTCTCCATTTGAAGCTGCAGTTTGCCCTAATTCCCAGCTAATTACATAGTTCAGACTTGCTTAGTATTACAGCTGAGAAAATGGTAGGGCATGGAAGTGCCAGTGTTTAGGAGCCCTTTCCATGTTGCTGGGGCCATTTACCCACTCCACCTCCCCACTCCCAACTACATCACCTTAAAGCCTCTCAGGCCCAGCTCTATCTGCAGCTGAATCTCTGTAGCTTCAGAATGTACAAAGCTCAACCATCTGAGTTCACTTTAAAAAAAAAGTTTGTGTGTGCTAGGGGGAAATGATGTTTCTCTGTGCCAGGGAGGCATAGTTGCTTTCTAAGTAAGCTTATTTTAGCCAAAAGGCAGGAAATCGCAGCATGCCCAAACAATTCAGGTACCAGCCCCTACTCAGCTCCCCGATTGAATCTCCCACACCTTTAAACTCGCTTGGCCTCAGCAACATCCATGTGCTTTTTGCTATTACTCACTAGCCAACACACACCCTGTGGAGAGTCCCCTCATGCAGCAGCTCCTTGGGAGGCCAAGGAAGAGCCTGAGTCTTCGTGGAGTCATTTCCTCCATCCAGACTTCCCTCATACAAGTGATCAACATTTACAAAACAACCATCCACATACAAGTCCTTCTCTCCATTTTCTCTGCCCTTCCTAAAAATACACATCACACTTTTGACCTTCCTGGAGAATACAACTTTCTGAATCATAGAGCATCCTGAGTTGGAAGGCACCCCCACAAGGATCATCCAAGTCCAACTGCTAGCCTGGCACAGGGCAGCCCAAGAATCCCACCCATGCCTGAGCATGTTGTCTGTCATCTCTAGCAGCCTTTTGTGGAGGTGTCTCTTTTCCTAGCACAGAAGCTGTTTTTAAAAGCACTTTCTAGCATCCCCCCTTCTTGGGTTTTGACCAATTTACAGGCTTGCAGATGGGCTCTACTACAATCGAAGCTCATTACAGTCTCTTAAGAGTTACCAGGTAGCCTTGACTCACTATCTCTAATGTCTTATTAAAGATGGTCACTACTGGTAGATTATTTAATTAGTGATCCTCTATCAGTCAGGGTGAACCCTCCAGACCTCATATTTTTTACTGTGCAGCCTGTGCAGAAAGATATGTAGGGCAACCATTTGTGGTTAAAAACAAACAAAAAACCCTTGAATGCCTGTGCTCAAGTTCCTAAAGGTGTCCCAAGTGAAACTAGAAGGAAGGCAAGCTGCTTTAGGTCCTGTGCAAGCAGAGCTCATTCATAGCTAAAGTGTGCTGCAAAGCATCAGCTGCTCTCAGATAACTCACTGTGTGCTTGGAGCTCTCAACTCTGGGGAGAAGAAATGCAGTGAGCCTGAATTTTTTCTTCTGGTGTTTAATGCTTTTTATTTCCTATTTGCAGTGGCTTGAGACACAGTTACCACAGTTGCCCTGATGCTCAGTAAATTACTGCAACTGAGTCATATATCTAAATTTGCAGATAGACAGCCAAGTGGTTTGAAATCAAGTTTTTAAGTGGTTGTAGGAACCAAGCAGAGTTTTCAAGGATTTTCAGTTTTATTGTTGAAGCAAACAGCAGTGTCAGATACTTGGGTGGTTGGGGTTTTTTGCAAATTCCACCAGCCTACTAAATACCTCTGCAAGTCTGAGCAGCTCAGTCAGTTGAGAATATGGGATGGGGCCCTTGATCACTTTTGATTTTTCTTGTGAAGATCTCAAGATGCAGATCTGTTTCTCTCATTTGAGATGTATTTATATTCAAGCTCTGCCTGAATACGTCTTAAAAACTAAGTGAACAATAAAAAAACAAATCTGCACTTGAATCCTAGCTCTTCTCAGCATCTGAAGCTGTCTTTGTTTCCACCTAGACATCTCAGGCTGATTTTTTTGTGTTCTTTGGTTTTGTGTAGAAGGGGGCCTAGAGTTTGTGTTTGAATGTGAGAGAGAGGGATTAAAAATAACATTGCCTACTGCGAATTATGAGGTGAACTTAAAGACAAGTGTAAATAATGTCTGCAGAACTGTAAGTATGATCTGTAAGGTGCTGTAATTGGAGATGGTCTGCCCTGGGTTGATAATTCAAGAATATGACAAAGCCTGACATTGACTAGCCTCTTCAGGAGCAGCATCCCTCCAACTGACTCCAAGGATTCTTGCACTAAAAAAGACATTTTCAATACACTTCTTGCATTGAAAAAGTTCTGGAATTAATTGCACGTGTGTCAAAGAACCATTTAAGCAGGGCCTTACTACCCTTTTATTTGAAAACCTCCCACAATATTAAAAGGCACAAACCAGAAGAGCAATATAGTCTCCCTTGTCTTGAGTCACAAATGAAGTCTAGAAAATAAGCTTTTTTCTTATGTGTGTGTGTGTGTACAAAAACACTGACAGAAAGGCAATGTAAGAATTGTATTTTGTGAATTTTTGAGAGGGAGGATGACAGAAATTCAAATGGTAGAATTCAACTTCAGTTTTCAGACTTCTCACTTAGTCCAGGGAAACTTGTGCCCAGGTTTCATTTTTTAAATGCAAACCTAGAAAAATCTCAAATGGGGATGGACATTCTTCTGTGGAAAATGTTTTTCTATGAAAAATGTTAATGAAAATAAGGTTTTTCCAACCAGAAAGTCTTGTTTCTTGCCTTTTACATTTCTGCTCTTGTCAGGGATAAGGTGACCATCAGGGTAGATTTCAGCTAGAATGGGAACCAGATTTTTTCCAGATGCCATCTCTTCAAAACAAAATGTTTTATGCTTTGTAGAACTGGCAGGGAGAGACTAAAGCAAGGGCACTGGCAAAATAAACTCTGGTTTTAGAGACAGTACTGTTTGTCAGAGATATTCTTTGCAGTTTGGAAGTGGGAAAATAACTTGAAAATCTCTGTCAATATCAGGTGTGCTCACTAAATGTGTTATTCATATCCTTTCTCAAAAAGTATTTTATATTCCCATGTCATCATGCCCATTATAACACGTGCCAGCCCCAGACAGACAGACAGGGATAGAAAGACAGGCTGACAAGAATTTTAGCATTTAGAAGCTGGATGTCTTTGCTTGCCAGCCCTTGGACAATTCTAACAAGCCCTATCTCAGAGGCTGGTATTGCTTTCAAAGTAAAGTGCAACCCCACAGCTACCTCAGAAATCTGGATAGCTGAGCTGTGAAAACCCTGTTGTTTCTGACAACAGCAGTACCCCCAGCTCTGTACAATTCACAGTCCATATTCCATATTCCCAGTTTTTCTGTGCTGCACACACACATTGCAAACAGGAAGTAGGAGCAGCTCAGTTCTTGGCTTCCTCAGTCTCAAGAGACTGCCATGAAACTGAAAAACACTAAACTAAAACTTAAGTGTCTGTTAGACCTTTAATTAGCAACCTAAGGAGTGTTTGCCAAGAGGAAATTTGAATTCAATTATCCAAATAGAAAGTATTTAACCTCTCAATAGCACTCAAGTAATTACAAATCTTAGGTGTTGTTTCATTTAGGGAACCTTAAAAAGTAAAACAAAAAATGAAGTTGCAAATGGGAGAAGCTGTCAGTTTTATATCACATGGAGTCTACAAAGGAAAGCTGTAATGTTGCCCATGATTTAGACTCACATGTTAGCACAGAAAAGGGCAGCCTCAAGCAGGGAGAGTAGGTTGCAGGATTTGTGATTTCTCCACTGAAACAGCCAGCAACAGCAGCAGGGCCAACAGCGTGAGCTTTATAAACACACAACTAAGACCAGCAGGTCACCTCACACAGCTTTTGATGAGATGGAGGTGCTCTGTCAGTGTCAGGAGAACTGGGATGCATCAGAGGAGGCTGTATATTCCAGTCCATTTTGCAAACATTACCCAATACCAGCCAAGCCCATTTTCATTTTAGGTCACAGCAGCTGTTTCATCCTTGATCCCAACTGTCCTTTCACTATACATCCATCCACCCACACAAAAGGTTTCAAGAATTAATCACAAGGAAAAAAAAAGAAAAGTAATTATTTTCTTGTTTCTCTCTTTGCAGACTGTAGGTTGCTTTGGGATTATGTTTATCAGCTGCTTTCTGACAGCCGGTACGAAAATTTCATCCGATGGGAAGATAAGGAATCAAAAATATTTCGGATAGTGGATCCCAATGGGCTGGCTCGTCTGTGGGGAAACCACAAGGTAAGGAAGCAATGCCATTTTCCTCCTGCAGCACTTTTCCTACTTTGTCTCTCGTAGCATTACAGGTTCCAGTTATAAGTGGGGGTAAAGAAGAAAAGATGGCATATAAATTTCTACTGGAAAACTGTAATCTTTTACTCTATGTACATTAGAAATTCAAAGCATCCATCCTAAAGCACTAAAACCTATTCTTCATGTAGAGAGCTTGCTGGTTTGGTTTAAAGGCCTTTAGTTATAAATGCATGTAATTATGAAATTATAAGGAGTGCAAGAATTAACAGTCCTTCTCTCTCAAGGCATCTTACTTCTTCTCAAAACCTGTTGCTGAGGATATTCTGGTGAGATGTAGTTTACAAGGAGCTGTGTACTACAGAGTAGGAGCTTTCTGTGTTCCTGTCTGCAACAACTCCCAGATTCCACAGGCTGCCCTGTGACAAACACCAAGTGCTGCAGGATTATGTATTTCCTTCTCAGAGGGTGGTTCCTGGTTTGTTCTCTGGAAAGGCATTACTGATTTTTATAGTTTGGGGCTGACTTATGTATAGATATTCCTGTATATGTATATAAGTATATTCATATTAATGTATGAATAGTCAGCATGGATTTACAAAAGGGAAGTCATGCTTGACCACTGTGATACCCATCTACAACCAAATTATTGGCTCAGTGGATTCAGGGAAAATGATGGATATAGCTTATCTTGATTTTAGAAAGGCTTTTGAAACTATCTCATAATAGCTTCAAACACAGGCTAATTAAGTATGACCTAGACAAGAATACAGTGAGGTGGATGGAAAACTGGCTGATCCGCTGGGCTGCAAAGATGGTGATCAATGGCACAAAATCCAGTCACTAGTCATTTTACCCCAGGGATTGATTCTGGGGGCACTACTGTATGTCTGTTAATGACCTGGATAATGGGACAGATTTTCAGATAACACAAAACTGGGAGGAATAGCTGACACACCAGAGGGTTGTGCTGTCATCTGTGTGGTTCTGAACATGCTGGAGATACGGATTAATGGGAATTTTATGAAACTTACAACTTACCCAACCTGCACATTAATAATTGAGCCATGCCATTAGGTCTCATGCTGGGTGTCTAAAACTGAAGCTCCTTCAGACCATTGGCCATTTGGCAACACAGTGGCCTTTCAGCATGTAAGTAATGGAAGAAGCACAACTAGTATTTCAGGGAGGTTCTCAATGAGGAGTCTAGATTTTGCAGGGAAAACTTGGTCCCTGTTAGTGTTTCATTGCCACAGGAGTTCTTGATGAGAACCCCCATTACAGAGTTACTGTAGTCAGGGCAAGCAGAGGGGGTCTGCTCTTACTGGGCATTTTAGGCAGGTGGATCAGTCTCCTTTGATGGAGCCAAGCTCCTGCCATGGAGACTCCCAGAACAAAAACATGCTTCTACTGTTGGGTGTTTTTTGCCCATGGCAAGGGGTTGCTTTACACTCAGGCACACACGGCAGAGTTGTGTCTCTGCTGGGAGTCTCTGCCAGACAGCAACCACTGCTCCTTGTGTAGACATAGCCCAAGGGGCTGATCCTGCTCCTCCAAGTCACTAATTTGGGGGCTGCCCACAAACAGCTCTGCCAGTGCCTATCGCTTCTTCCTTGTGACACTCAGCTTCAGCAGAGCCATCTCCTCTGGGAGCTTCGGAAGGTTTTAATGAACCATCTCACACTTCAGTATACCTCAGTGCTCTGGCCATGGCCTTTGCGGCCAACAGCTCCCAGAATGAAGGGAAGGATGTGTCACAGAGGCAGATGTACAACCCAGCTGGTTTCTTGGTTTACACCTGTGTTACAAGAGGAGAAACAGGCTAAGAGTCCTCACAGAGCTCTGTGAGCATTAACTAGTTAATGCAGGGGAATCCCAGAGGAGCAGTGCTCCAAGCAGGGATTGCTGACAGATCCAGCCTATTAGCCACTACTCCCAGGCTTTTACAAAAGGTGTTTTCATTAAGAACAGGCCTGTCACATCCCACTTGGCATGAGCATCTTCCTCCGCCTAATGTCTCCTCTTGTAGTTAATTAAGTCTTTTGTTATCTGTGTTCCAAGAAACTGTAGAAAAACCTTGCTTGGAATTCTTGTTAAACTCCTTGCTTAAATTGCCCTGTGTGGAAAGAGACCCACACAACTTTGGTGATGAGGGGGGTGGGGGTAGAATGGGCCTGCAAACAACAGAAAATGGTACATGTAATTTCTTGGACTGTCTTGGTTACTTTAGGTAGTTGGGATAGTTCTGCAACTCTTTTGGGGGCTTAGGAAGGTTTTAATGAATCGTCTCACCACTTTTTTTCCTTTCTTCTTTTGAATAAAACAGAACAGAACAAATATGACTTATGAGAAAATGTCCAGAGCCCTACGCCACTACTACAAACTAAATATTATCCGGAAGGAGCCAGGACAAAGGCTTTTGTTCAGGTAATTTTCTTTCTTCGCCATTTCTTTCTATGGACAGTTAGTTTTTGAGGACGGAAGATGGAATTGTGTGTGGGATACCTCATTGCCACAGTTATAACACAGGTGAAGAGGGCCATACATTTGTAAAAGCTGTATAGAGCAGTGCTTCCCAGCTTTTAAGGCAGCCAGACCAATTTACAGAAAACACAGGCCTGTCTCAATGATCAGTGGAGACAATAGAAGTCTTTCCACTGCTTTGTGCAGGCTGTGCCATTGTTTAAGACCTTAGATAAATGGGTTCAGTCAAACTGCTGGAAAACCTACTCCAAATGGACTCCTCAAACACAGCTGCCTCTGAAAGCTGAGCAGGGATCAGGCATTTCCTCAGGGGCATAGCAGAAGAGAAGCACTCGATGACCATGTCTTTGGTGCTGCCTTGAAGGAAGAGTGGGAGCTGCAAGAGCTGATCATAAAACCCAGCACAGCTGATTGGGTGATACAACTAAGAATTTAGGAAATAGAGCCTGAAACAGCATTAAAGCAGGGAGCTATTTGTACAATCTTGAGTGCAGATGGCACAGAGTGAGAGCACTCCACTCCTCTTCAGACAACACCAGCAAATCCTAGTGCACGTCTGACCCTCAGAGCACTGAACTCAGACCAAAGACTGCTTTGCTGTCAGTGGCCTGGATCTAGCAGTGTGTTTGGACATGGTAACAATAGGAAGGCAGTCTTGGAATTTGTTTTCTTAAATAGCTAACAGAAGTGCATTAGCACTCAAACTCTTTTCAGCTGAAAAGGGTTCTCTGGAATGACTAGTTTATGTCAGCTCTTAGAAGGAAACTTAGATGCAAGACGGAGAGTGATGGAAAGAAGCAGCCATGGGGAAAATCAAGTGCTCAATAGTAATTTTTTCTTTTCTTGTGGAAGTTAAAACAAGGTTGCTCCATCAGTACCAAGGGTACCTGTATCTCTGGGGCCTTGTGTGAGGAGTGCATTGCCCTGGGGGAATTCCTGATGCTGAACATTGAATGTGCTTCTCTTGAAGCCTTCCCTTCAGTGGGGACATACAAAAAACAGGAGTCCATCTCTTCTCAACCAGGCTGCCTGTTTTCTCAAAACCATTTAACTTAATGCCCTTGGAGACCTCAGTTTCTCTGTCAGACTTAGCCAGTTTGACCAACAGATTGAAAGGTCATCAGAGAGCATAAAACATGAGCTATATAAACTTCATTTCCTTTGGAAACTGGGAAAAAAACCCCAGCAAAACATTTCCTTGCACAATTCCCAATAAAAAATTTTTTGATGTTTTCTTAGACCTATTTATATCTGAAGAGAAAAATAACAGCTGCAAAAAATCAAGTTATTAATGTGCCTTTCTTGGCTATTCCTTGCAAGCAGAGAAATAATAGGAAATGTGACTTTAACATGCAGGCAGTTGTCATCTGCAGATACCTGTATGGAGCTTTAAGTAAGATGGAGTCAGAAAAGGATTTCTAATAGGTTGGCTGGGTGTCTTCTGCAACAAAATAGGTTACAGATAGTGTGTCTTAATTTTTGTGCAGTTCTGGGTTGGGTTGTTTTTTGTTTGTTTGTTTGTTTTATGTAATCAAATGCTATTAGAAATACCCACACTGTGGTTTCCCTGATGTGGCTTAAAGCAGAGACCAGAAGGAATACCCAAAATCCTGTGGTGCAGCTCGCATCGGCCATGCCCCACGTGGAAGGGGGGGTGGCTCCCATGGCAGTGGGACCACTCTGTGTTTTGATTTCATTGTCATGCAAGATTAGGACAGTCACAGGGGTTAAATCTGGGCACAGTCTGGCCGTGGGCTGTGGTGCATTTCCAGTGTGTAGACAGGCACTGACTGATTCACCACCCCTGAATACAAGTTTTTCACCACTGTAACATTGTTTGTTTCAGCAGCATTTTTCCAGCAGTGACACAGCAGTGAGTCATAGCCCATTTTTTCCTCCTAAATGCATATATGCACATGATTTCCAAAATTAGAAGGGATGGCTAAAGGTTACTTCCAGGCTATGCTGTGTTTGCTGGGAGGCTCTAGCAGTGACCATTCTGAGTCAGTGATAGTAACAAGGCTTCTGCTGGTTGTTTTTGTTTTCACTAGGGCAATGATACTGAGCATATCATCAACCTGAAATAAAATCAGGTCTTACAAATAACACATTTCGTACTGCTGCATGTTAACCACTAGGTTGTTAATGAAAGACTGTGAAATTTTGTACCACTTCCAGCATAAACATCTTTCATCCTAATTTCTCCAGAAGTGCAGGGGAGTTGGGAAACTGATTTGTGTTGAAACCAGGGTTTCATCCTTCCTGTGCCACTCTCTCCTACATCATAAAATTGAAAATGAAAAAGCAGAACCTTTCTGTGCTACCTCTGTGCAGTAGTACACAGTAGCATCCTGGCAAAAACCAAGACTGCAGACTTAAACTGCAGGCTGCTGGATGTTCTTTCTCATTTCCTGCTGCTGCCATGCCTCCCCAGAGGCAGTTTCTGTCTCCAGCACCCTGCAGACTTACTGCCTTGAGACACTGGTGCTGGGAGTGTCACTCTTTACAGAGGATGCTGCCTCATTCAGTCACACTTTCTACAAGCACACAGGAAAAGACTGTATTTGCTTACAGTTCTCTAGCCCTAAATCTTTTTCCTTCAGGGGTTTTTTCATTCCTGGAACTTATTCTGAGTTGGACCTTGGCTCCTTGGCTTTTTTCCCCTCTCTGTTCCTTTGGTGTTTCATTTTCTTCTCACTCACCTACACACAGGCCTGCACAAACCAGTAGCCCTGTGCCTCCCCACACCTTGCAAGGGCTTGTGCTTTGAAATACGCTGATCATAAACACCTTTCATGTCTCTGTCACCAGACACCACACATGAGTGTACCTGGGCCAAGCTGTCATCTGACATGAAAACAGCAAACAATATGAGGGAGAAGAAATAAATATCTTTCTTTGGAAAAAACTATGGGTTTGGTTCCGATGTGGGCTTTCAAGAAGCCAGGGTAAAGGCCGGTGATTTCTTTGTTTCCTTTCAAGGTATAGAGGAGGGAAGATACCTGGGGAGAAGCTGGAAATTACTGAGGCTTTGGGAGGATACAGCAAAGATCATCATAGGAACTGTAGAGCTCAGGGGTCTCGACTATTTGATGACGATAAAAGCTGAGACCCCTGAGAAATGCGCTTGTTTCTCTGTCTCGCAGGTTCATGAAGACCCCAGATGAGATCATGAGTGGCCGGACAGACCGCCTCGAGCACCTTGAATCCCAGGAACTGGATGAACAAATATACCAGGAAGAGGAGTGCTGAAGGAACCAGGTGCGCCACCTCTGTGGGTGCAGGGGAGAAACATCTGCCTGAGGTCGGCACGGTTTGGGAGGGGAAGCAACAACACAGGAGCAGTCCTTAGGTCGCTGCTTAGCCTGAAGACCACGCAGGACCTGAAGCACCTTAACACAGCTAACTAACCAGCAGAAGTGGTGCTGGCAGGAAAGCAAAGGGGAGAAAGCCTGGACTTATGCACTGCTTCACTCTTCTACCGAGTCTCCCTTGAGTTTTTTCTTTCCTTTTGGCTTGTTTCAGTTTTGGGGTTTTTTTGACATTTTTTTTTCCCTAATAAACATGCAGTTTGACTTTCCTTATCTCACATGGGACAAGACATCAGATTATGCTTCTTCTTTTTTGGTTTTTTGTTTTTAGAAGGCTTTCCTATGGAAATAGAGTGCTCTTATTTTCTGTTCAAGTCTCATGACACGACACTGCATAAACAATAGCAACACAGAAGGGATTTGCTCAAGGCTTCCAGTTCGCTTGGATCAATTTATCTGTGCTGCCACTGGGAAATGTGTTGAAGCTACCAAAAGAATTTCTCACACATACCTGTCAAATGAAGAGGAGACACCCTTCACATGTAGGCTGGGCTGTCATCCCCACATAGCTTGGGCTCACACAGAGTACTCTGAGTGGCTGTTAACTGCTGGAATATGGACCAAAACCAATCACCTAAGTGCTCCAGAGTGGAGAAAAATAAATGTGACAAACCTTTGCAAGTGACTATCAGTTAACATTTTCCCTCCTTCTGGCAAAGAAGTGATAGAATGGAGGAGGGGGAAGGAAGGGTGGGGACAAATACATATATATATACATCTATATATATGTGTATATATGTATCTAAAAATTCCATATATATATATATATATATATATATATAAAAATATATATATATAGTCCCCCCCAGTATATTCACAACGCAGAGTTGTGAATTTCAGTTCAGAGTTTTCTATAAAAAGGAAAGACTGAAGCATCTGTAATTACAGAAGGAAGGGGTGTTTCTCATACCTGCTAGCAATTTTGGGGTGAAAGGTGAAGGACTGTTCCTTACATCACAGGGAGAAAGCAAAGGGATTCATCACATGGTTTGTATTACTCAGAAGCCTCTCCAGGATCATTTTGTGCTGCTGGAGAGGTAGATGATTCACCACTCCAAAATCTGATGTTAGAGAACGAGAGACCAAATAGCTATACTTATATCTTGTAATTGATTTTGGCTTTGTTTTGGGATTTGGTTTTTTTTGTTGNTTTTTTTTTTTTTTTTTTTAATGCCTCCCACTGCCCTCCCCCATCCTACAGCTCTGCCATCAAGGAAGCTTGTCCCAGCTTGCCTGTTTTTAACATGATTTAAGACAAGAGAAGAACAAACCCTACACCCGTGTTGCTTTCTTGGTTTGGGGTTTTGTTCTGTTTGCAAGGTGCCTCCATTTGGTTTGCTGCACTGAGGGTGTTTGGCATTAGGCAAAGAGCTATGTCTAGTTTGGTCACAGAAAGCTCAGCAGTCCTTGATGCCCAAACAAGAGAAACTGCTGACCTGTTTCATTTCACAGCTTGAACCACCAGGACAGGAATGTCTGTGGTGTCCAGTGATCCATCAGCAGTGGTCCTTTGAATGGAAGGAAGATCTAGCAGAAATGATGCTTGCAGAGGTAGGAGGTGTATAGGAAAACTGCAGGAATCACATGGTGCCTGAAAGAAAGCATGTCCACAGCAGTGCATTAAAAGCAGAAAGCCTCTTTAATGGAAACATAAAAGAAACTAGATCTGGAAAAAAATCAAAATGCTAATCTAATCCATTTCAACCAAAAAACAAGGTACATTCCCATGATAGAGCTTTTATCAGCTATTAAACCAACACAACATTTGCTCTTTCCACGTATTTAACAAGAGGGTTAATCTATCCAGGAAAAAATGTCACTCTGCAATGAACAGTGTCCCCTGTGTTTAAACAGAGATAGGCCAATCTCACCAAAGACTTAATATTGAGTCACAGGTCGTAGAAGGAACAGCTTTGTTAAGGGTGTAGATAAGCATCGTACAACAAGGAGAGATTTTGCTGAGCCAGTATCTGATGAGGAATGACAGGGTGTACATTTCTCCCTGAGCTTTGCCCAGCCACATTTTCCTATAAAATCACAGTAAGTTAAAAGTCCCAGCACACCACATACTTGATCTTTTCTGCCTCAAAATAATGGACAGGGGAGTGTTTTTTAGCAATGTGTCACCTGTCTCTGTTGTGACTGTGAGGTCCTTGGAGCTCATGAGGCGTGAGATTGGGAGACGTGGGACTTCAGTAGTCACAGATCTGAAACCTAAGGTCCCTTCAGATCAAGGGCCCAAGGAGTTGCTCTGTCACTTTGCTCAACTTGCAGCCAGGTCTCAGGAGCTGGAATGGTGAATTTGATAGATGGAGTGTAATCAGAAGTACCAATGTAAAGGAAGGCTGTGGCTGGATCCTTGGTTGTCCACTGGTAGAAAGTTTTTGCAGAGGATGGTTCATCCTCTTTACTGCTGTGGTCTAGACAACTGCATAACTGCAGTTCTTTGCCCTGCTGTTACAAGATGGTGAGAGACCAAAGAAAAAAACCAATAGAGACTTTCTGCATAAAGAGCTCTGATGAGTCACAGCTTTTTGTCATGGCCAAGGTGCACACTGCAGAATACAGAGAACAAGAGACAATCCACCCATTTCCTCACCATTATCTATCAAATTAAGTCCATCCTCAGCACTGGGTAGGGAAGATTTGCAGTAGAAATGTTCACCTTTACAAACAAATGCAATCACTTCCACTGCAGAATCTCAGTCAAAGGGGAAGAAATGTTTGTGGCTGTTGGAAACTCTTCCCAGTTCATGCATAAAGGACATCTTAAGACAACATCATCACAACCACAGAGAAGGAGTTCTCTCAAGACTGATGCTAGCTGGAATGAAAGTAGTCTTTGACCTTGGAAGAGGCCAGTCCCACAGAGGCCCTTCCTGTCTCCTGCCAGGTCTCCAGGTGCCAAAGGGAATGTTATGGGTGACACTGCCAGCTGCTAGGGCTGCAGGGCCTTGGGGCCTGTTGTGGGAACTGCAGGATTTGAACTGCTCTTGGGGTCTTGAAGTGAGTTTACTAGGTATGACTAAAAATAAAAAAGTAGGCAGGCTAGAGCAACTGCAGGAGGGAGATTCCCATTGATCTCACATCCACTGGCAGATCCATGGGAGTGCAAAAACAGCATTAACATCCTGAGCCATAGGAATGCATCGCTGCCTGCCAGGGCTAGCAAAGGTAACACTGTCTTTCCACCAACACTGACACCTGCCTTCCTCCCCTCCCCCAGTTTCTGATTTCCCAGTGTAGAATTTGCCAGCAGCAAAACAACCAAACTTTCTGCCTTTGCCACCAGAGCGAGTGGGGAAAGGGAGAAAGCATGTTGTTCTTGGAGACACACAAAAGTCACCTGGACACAGTCCTGGGCAGCTGTGCCTGGCTGGCCCTGCCTGGCCAGAGGGGTTGGAGCAGATCCCTGCCAACCTCAGCACCCTGCAAAGTTCTGAGTGGTTACGTGGTTATGCAGAGGTTAAGTGGGACTTTCATTGTCATCAGCTTGCTACAAGCCTCAGCAAGCCACAGGTCAGTCAGCTGGGACACGCTGCAGCTCCACTGCAGAATATTTTCTTGATTAAAGTTTGAAACCTGTTGACTGTCTCTCCATCCAGAGAACACTACTGGGGACCTTTCTGTGAACACTAAGTTGCTGCCATCCTCCCGTATTTCAAACTCCACATATGCATTCTCCAGATCTTTTTTGTCAGACTGCAACTGTACGCGAATCCAGCGTTTGAGGTCTTTTTTAAAAAAAAATAAAATTCTAGTGTTTTTATTGATGAAGGCTTTTGTTTTTTTAAGGTGTGGGGCTAAGGGACTGAATCAAATGAATGTAACAAAACAAAAACAAACAAGCCTATTCTCAGGGCCAGTGAGTTGCAAATAATTTTTTAAATGCTTGTAATTACATCATCTCAATAAAAAAAAATTTAATATAAAAGCAGGAATGCCAAATTTGTTGGTGCAATCATTGCTACAAGGCTATTTCTTTTTAAGAGCCATGGTACCTAAGAGCAGCCCACAGCAGCTGTTTTCCATCAGGAAATTAAACCTGCAGGCTCCCCCTGCCCAAACACGTATGAGCAGTGCCTTGATCTTCCCTGGGTAGGGCTGAAAAGTTACTGCTATCCCTTGAAATATGTACTTTGCTGTCTGTCCTGAAAGATAAGCCAAGTAGTCCTCTAATGACTGGATGGATGCACCTGGTTCTCCTTCCTTCTCTTGGAGTGGACGTAGAAGAAAAAAGAAAAACCAAACCTTAGTTGCTGTGATGACTGATGCATCTTTTTAGCTTGCTTAACAGGCCAGATCAACGACTATGAGAACAAGAGGTTTTAAAGAATATTCATCTTTGCAAACCAGTCTAGAAACCCAGCCTGTCTCTTCCAGCATAGCAGGACTGTATTTTCAAGTGGTCATCCCTAACCTGGAGGTGAGGGGAGAGCAAGATGAGGTGAGACAAACTGCTCCTCACTGTCCCTGTCTCCTGCATGGTGGGGCTTCTGCTGCTTGCTTTTGACAGTGTGAGGCCTCTGGGGGGCTTCTGAACATCCCTGCTCCAGAGATGCCATCAAAAGCCACACCAAACAAACACATCCTTGCTCCAGAGAGCAACCACTGACCTCAGTTTGAAACCCCAGCAATGGGTTTCAAACTTCCAAGCAGTACAGAAAGAGCCACTTAAAAAAAGATGTGAGGAGAGAAAGGATGCACTGCCACAGCATGAAGCCCAAAACCAAACGTGCTTTGTTAATCACCTGAAAGAAAAGGTTGGTGTCTCAGTGTAAGTATTCCAACAGCACAGGAACAGGTGGATCTGCCACATGTCAGGTCTGCCCATCCTGGATTCCCACACACCTGGGGATCTGCTGGTTACACTGGGTTCACCACAGGCACACCTTGCTCAGTTCTGCTGCAGCCTGCTCACCATGCAGAACTGGAGGCTGAGCTAAATTACATCCACCTGACGGGAGAAAGATGCAACTTCATGAGCTACTTCAGAAGAAATGTCCCACTGCATGTTGCCATCTGGCCATGCCCAGCAAGGGGAAGGCTGCAGAGGGAGGAAGGGAAGGTTTGCAGCCTGGTTCAAGCTTTCACCACCCCAAGCAGCTCCTTAGAGTCCAATAGAGAGCCAGGTGAGGATGAACTTTCCAGGACCCACTTCCAACATAACCAAGAACATGAGGTGTGAAGAAGTCAATGCCAGGGCAGCCAGAACTCCAGCACA